ATCTGCATTACTGAACTAGTTGCTTCGGTAGTATTTGGTGCTGCTGCCCTTGAATTGTTCTTGCGAATTCTTCTCCCTTCAGGTGAATGCTGTTCTTGCCTCTTTCTTCTTGCGTTATCAACTTCATGAGCCTCAGGTTCTGGCTCATTATTTATTAACTCTCTGATTCCGCCACTTCCTCCACTAATACCTTTGGGGTATCTGGAACTTCTACATTGTCATTATTTGATCCTGGTGACGCCTCCCACATATTTTCATTGTATTCCGGGTTAGAATCCCCATTTACTCCATTTTCTGACTCTTCAGATGGATCTGATTCCACATAGGTACTAGAACTACCATTATTTGGGTCACATATTGGTTCTTGGTGAACAAATTCTCTGCAAATCGATCGTCCCCCACATCGTCCTCCTCCTCTTCTAATAACTAGTGCTCCGGTATATGTACGACGATTAGACATCTCTCCATCCAACAAGGTAAAACTTATTCCCATCTACCTAAATAAAGGAGCTGGCCCATTTCTTAATACCCTTTTGTGACACATTTACTCGATAAAACATTAAAAGAGAGTCCCAAGTGAACATGATAGAACCTTGCTCTGATACCACCTTTATAACACCCCCGACTCAGTCTAGATCCGAGTGCAATGACCGGTCGCGCAACAATCAAACAAGACCATGCACAACCAACCGTTCGGAACTAAACCGGATCGACGGTGCTACATTTGCACGCACAGACTGATGGCCCGAGGTTCTTAGTCGCGCCCCAATCAAACAAGAACATGCACGTCAGAGAGTCCAAGGTCGAGACCGCACGTGCTATACCACCGGACACGTCTCTAAGCTTTTCAACCCGAGGCATGCTCGATGGTTGGTTCGTCTCGGACAGGGACTACTATCATATGAGAACCCAAGTTTCACAAAACTGTTATTATTTATATAATACTAAAGTTCAAAAGGTCACCACAAAATACATATACAATCCGGCCGGGAGCTCAGTGCTCAAAGATAATTATACATATTAAATACATACTTGTTTTACAAAAGGATAGCAAACTACACCGGCCTGACCTAAGCTCCTTTGATCCCGACTAATTTCTATTGGTTACCTGCAAAAAAATTAGAGTTGTGAGAAACTAATTGCTCAGTGAGTTCGCTTCCCCCTAACCGTACAGACAACCCCATAAACCCCGATAATTCACACAGCACGCACCACGCAACATCAACAACAAGTACATTTGATGCATAATAATACATACTTATTGATAACACCGTATTTTGACCACTTTTATGGATCGTTTTGAAATACTTTTTCTATGTTTTTAATTGCTTTTAAGTAGTTTTGTTACGTTTTTCTAGTATTTGTAGTTCCAAGACTCTTTTCAGGTAACTTTGGGAAAAGCTTAACAAAATGGATAGAAAACCAGATTTCAGCTCAGAGTCAAACCGTCAGAAGTTTACCTCTAATTGAAGGCCTTCTCACCGTCCGATCCAGCTCAAATTTGGAGATCTTAAAGATGGAAGCATCAGCTTTCCAGCACACTTTACAGCTTGGCAATCCAATGGTTCAATCAAAAGATACGTGAAGAGCAAGATGTCCCATAAACCAGCCGGCAAGCGTTTCCACCCGCGGCCAACAGACCAATCCCCGCGGTCACAACCATCCCGACCACGGCCAGCCACCCATTCCCCACGGTCGCGCACTTCCCGACCGTGGCCAGCTAACTCCGAACCCGAAGGCCCATTTCTGAAGCCCGTATCATTTTCCCAGCCTCAATTCCAGAACCCTAGACACTAGAGAGTATTAGAGACTATAAATACATGTCATTTAGGTCGTTTTTAGAGAGAGAAGAAGAGAGACAAATACTTTACAGAAATTTTACTTTAAGCTTTGTTTTTAGGTTTTAGGGAGAGAGAGATCTGTCTCTTGAACCCTTGTTTTTTCTTTTTCAATTTCGTTTTCTATTATACTTTTTAATACTATGTTTTTGATTTCGCTCATCATGTCTGAGTAGTTTTATTGTTGGGTCTAAGGGATTTTCGATGGGGATTTATATGTTCGGTGATGATTCCATGAGCTTTTGAGCCGAATCTTAGAGCTTTTTTTCTGAATTCGTTTTTACTGCATGAGAGTAGCGTCATGAACTACAAGCTGATCCAGATGCTTGGTGATACGAAAGTGTTCATCCGGTGTCAGATCTAGTTTGGGAGAGCAAAACAAACATAGGAGTGGAAACCTACCTATGGGTGATTTGTGAATGCTGACGAGTCTTAAACATAATGCATCTCTTCTTTTCCAGGGCCAGAGTGGAAACCTACTGGTCAGAGTTGAGAGAGATAGTTGTCTATGATCACGACAGTGGCGTATTCATACGTCCGTGACTCCAGTTCGAAAAGTTTAAGCTAAGATCTTATCAAATCTACTCTCTAGCAATGTTTTGAATCGTTCATACCCCTGAGAAAACTTCCCTGAACCCCAGCACCTCTTTTCTTATAGATTTACACCGATTTTCATTCAAGCTTTAGTCTAGTATCTTTACTCTTTCAATCGATTTTCATTTAAGCAATTAGGTTAGTCGTTTTTCTCGTTTTTACCCGTTTTCGTTAAGTTTAGTTATTAGGTCATTTTAATTCCTGTATTTTCTCTTTAAAATTCGTTTTTACGTTTTAAACACACCACCAAAACCCTCACAAAACTCGTCTGGTTCTAGACTTCCTTACTTTATATTACTTTCGAAGGCTTTTGCAGGAAAGATCATCCTTCCCTGTGGATTCGATCCCTAAGTACTACAATCGATCAGCTGTGCACTTGCGCAATTGATTTCATTTAGGGTAAAACTTGACACCCTCACGACACTCCGCATCAAGTTTTTGGCGCCGTTGCCGGGGAAGGCATGCGTTTTCTTTTCCTCAAAACCCTAAGAAAGGTTGGTAAATTGACTCTAGAACCCCTTTTCTGCATATTTCCATTTTTCGGTTATTTTGTTTCCATTTCAGAAGATATGGATCCTATAAATCGAAATCCACACTATGAGGAAGGTTTCTATAACACTCCTCAAGGCACCAGACGCAGAGAAGAACACCAACCCCGAGACCTTAGCTACATGGATCGATACAGCCAGCCAAACCACCCATACCACCGGCGCAGAGAGCCTGTTCGATGCCGGGAAGATCCTTATGGTCCTCCTCCGACCTACTTCGAGCCACACGCCTACAATCCTCCACTGCAGAACCCTAATCAGCAAGAGGACAACTTGAGGATCAGCAGACGTTTGGGACTCCTCGAATGAATGATAAACCAGTTCCTTGATCAACAGATTCTCACCGAAAACACCCTGCTCAAGAGAATTGATTCAATCACTGAAGAGTTCAACAGAAAATTCGATGATCTGGCCAATCATGTTCGAGTTCTGGAAGAACAAACCCACAAGGACGCACAAACATTAGCTGGGATGATCCACCAAGTCGCTACAGAGCAGACAAGACAAGGGTATGACATCATACAGAATTCAAGTGATATTGTCGAATCAAAGCAGGAGATTAAAGAAGTCAGAGAATCCGCCTCCTGGTATAGAGAGAAGACAGACGAAGAGTTGCAAGAGATCGAGCACATGCTGAACAAACTCGAGCTCAAAGCACGGGAGATTGAGCAAATTGAGAGATTTTCTAAGAGATCTCCCAAAGATCCTGATGAAGATGCACAACAACACCCTGGTATGAGTTCATATGATGCTGGTTTACCCAATAAAGAAGCTGGAGAAGTTCGTGTCAAGTACAAGAAGGAAGAAACGGACTATGAGCAAATTATATCCGGAGCCGTGGGTCCGAGCATCCTGACCGCGGCCAAGGCCCCTTTTCCCGTGGTCGCGACGCCTCTGACCGCGGAAGTTGGTCGTTCAGATTCACCTCTGGGATTTGAGAGAAAAATAATACATCTCCTGTCCCAACTTCAACCTCCACCACTTTTTAAATCCACAACTTGGAACCTGGAACACACCAAATTAAAGGAAGCTTAATATGGTACAAAAAAGAGTGAACATCACTAAAGAGACGAAGATTTAAACACATCTTACTTCCGGGAAGATTTTAGGTCCACAACAACCGCAGAAGATCCATGAATGCTTCTCGATAGAGGTATGCAACTCTTCTTTCGAAGACGTGATTTTGGAGGCATTCAACTGATAAAGGTTGCAGCGGATAGAGGATACACCTGTGCAATCTATGTATATGGGATGTTCATGAAACTTGTCATGGACCATTCCGAGGGTGATGAGTATCTCGGCCAACTAAGGAAGTTTCCGGAGATGTTCAATCAAGCCCAATGTTGCTTTATGCTTGTCTTTTACCGTACTCTCCACCACTGTCCGTGCGCTCAAGTTAACCAATCAGAGTATTGGTGGGAGGAGATGTATAAACCGGGGAACATCTGCAACTCCTGCTTCTTAACTCACGAAAGCGGAAGGTTTTTCCGCTTTGTGTAATGGGCAGTGCGGGGTTTTCCTGACATGACAGAATGGTGAATGTGACTCATGCATCAAACTAAATAACTTATGTTTTTGCATCCTTATGTTCTAGACCCGTTATGTTAGTATTTCATTATGTTTTGTACTTACTTATGTTCTCTGTTTATTATAAGTATTCAGATTTGTTTTTCCTAATTTAGTCGAAATGTTGTTTATAAGTATTCACATTTACGAGATGGTTACACCAGTGGTACTATGTTATACTAAAATTAGGGATTCTCAATTTACACTTTGTTATACCTGGTAATACTTAGTTATACATGAGTTTATATTCTATGTCTCCTTTATCTTATTACTTTGAACTAATAAATGTATTAAACTACTAAATATTTTCCTTCCAATAAGAGAATAACAGAAAATAGAAGTGCGTACACACACCAAAGTTTGCGAGTTTAATCCCAATACAAATACCAAGAGAAAATACCAAATGTCAACGTTAATAGATGTGGAGAGGAGGAAGAAGAGACAAGACACAACACTAACGTCTCTGCCTTGTGCTTGGCCCTGCCTTTGATTGCTCTTGTCTCCGTTTACCTAAACCCATTCCTTTCTCGAGATTCTCTCCTTTCTCACCCACTTCCTCATTCACAGCGTCAGCAACGTCTGCTTCTCCCTACCAATTAATATAATATAGTGTTACTTTATTATACTAAGGGTTACCACATAATACTAAGTATTAACACATAATACTACGTATTACCATTTTTCTTCTAAGCAAGTACCGAGATCTTCTAAGCAAGTACCGGGTCCGCATCCTCTGCCTCCTTCAGATCCACCTCCTTCGGCTCTGCCTCCTTCTGCTCCGGCTCCTTATGCTCTTTCTTCTGCTTCGGCTCCTTCTGCTCCGGCTCCTTCGGCTTCGGCTCTTTCTGCTCTGGCTCCTTTTGATCTGTCTTCTGCTTTGGCTGCTTCAGCTCTTCTGCTGCTTCTGCTTCCTCGCTTTCACAGTTTTCACCACCTTTTCAACTTTCTCTCCACCTTCTTCTATGTCTATTTCATTCTCCATTCTACCTTCTTTATTATGTAAAACTTCTCCTTCTCCTGGTCCTTCTCGTCTTGCCTATTTCACATTTTGTTCTACAGAGCAGAGTCTTGTATCAAAGCCATCCATGCGGGCACTGATTCGGAGAAACTGAGCGTCTATACTCTTCTGCAAGCTCTTCAGTTGTTCCACCACATCGACAGGCACCGCCTTCTCCGTAGCCACATTTTTCTTAGCCACTGCATCATCATGGAGTACCCACTCCTGCTTATCTCAGGCATCAACATCCACGCGCATATCTCTTTTCAGAATATCGGCTTCTTTTCCTTAACCAAACGCCTTGTCCAATTTTCAAGAACTATATCATCGACATCTTCCTCTACAATCCTCCTCTCTATGATTCTAGCAAGCATTATATCCTCATCCTCGGATGGTTGCAATATACTCTTGATCTCTCTGGTGTTACCCAGTGTTTCATAGATATCCAAGAGAGGGAAACCTGAAAGGATGAATGATTGGAACTTCTGCCTGCACATCCGGGGACAAGACCTATCAGCTCCTCTTACATCTTCCATGTACTTGTTCTTCAGACATGGGATGGCTTCAAATGCTAGCAACTACACATAACTCAAGAAATTACACTTCACCTCAAATATTACAGGACCAACATATTCTAAATAAAGCCACATACCTCCAATGGAGTAACAAAGCTTGGAAATGTCCATGCATCTGTTTCGATGACCCCTTTGAAATGCCTCATTGTATGCTCAAACTCCTTCATGTTCACATCAAAAGAATACCTACCCCAAGGAAATGTTCTACAAGCATCAAGATCATCAACCATTCTCAGGAATAAGGGGTCAACAGATGGTGCTCCCTTTCCAGTTTTTGTCTTCCCACTAATTATGCAGGATAAGAAGTAGGCGACACAGATCTTCAACCGATCAGGATGATCTCGATATCGCATTGACTCTAGTTGTTTTTCAACAGCAGCAAGGGAGGGGACAGTATTCTCAAAATAGGTGTCCTTAAATGAACTACTTCCTATGCTCTCATAGTCTTCAGGGTAAGGTAGACAGTTTAGTCCAGACAAAAAGGCATTCTCTGTAAGGGAATAGCGAATAAGAACCCCATTCACTACAAACCAAGCTTCCCTCTTCTTGTTTGTTTTTGTTGTCTGAAGAAGAGGCATCCACATTCCCATCATCTTGTGTGTTTTCTCCTCAGACATGGCCCTATGTGTGTGCCAAAAATGCTGGAACTGTGGATGTTCTCTAAACCATCTCACCTCATCTGGTTCAAGATCTAGTGACTCTAATTCTGCAACAGCTTTGTGGATGTAACATCTTGTTCCCAACTTTATAGCATTATGATATTGACTGGAATCAAAGAACATCTTCACGGGTGGCAATGGCTGGTTCTCCTCCTCCTCAGCTTCATTTTCGGTAGTATCTGTTCTGTTCTGCCACTCCACTAGACTTATCTCCGAATCGGCTATTTCTACCATTTTCTCCTGCAATGAATCGGAATCTGAGTACAGTTCTTGCCTAGCATATCTAAATCCACTTTCATCATACCTAAACCCTCTTTCGATACCATCCATGACTCCTATTTTGTAATTACCAACCGAATAGAACACATATAAATTGATTTCACATCTACACAGTTCTCTAAATGATAAGTCATTCAACCCAGACAATGTAGAAAACAGAGGATGAAGACGAACGAACCTGATTTAGAGCGTTGCAACAAATTACTCGTAGTTGTCCCAGGAATACTACACGAACTTGGCTACGATGACGGCGATTTCAAAATTCAAATTACTCAAATCCTTTTTTAGTATTTTTGATATTTAGGGATTGACCCAACTCTCCATTTTTGACAGAGGACCCGATTATTTCTTGTTTTAACCTGAGTAGGCGTGGATCTTGGTGATTGAGTTCGTAATTATCTAAATTTATTAAGGCCCCCCAAGTATATGACCACTTTTCTCCCACTTTTCTAAAATTTTAATGATGATGAGTTTTGAGAATTTTAATAATGCGGAAGGAGCACGCAAGATTATCTCTCCAATATTTCACGTGTTTGACGATAATAATTAATAGGGTTTTCGTATTTCACAATTATTGATAAGGTTTTCGTATTTCATGCTTCCCCTTAAATACACGGACACCCAGCCCAAACCGGGGATCAACCAAAATTTACCAAAAGCAGAAAATAAATCCGAAACCGTGAAAAAGACGAAGAGATACCAAACATGGTTAGCCGGTTAGAGAGAACCGAGCCTGATTAAATCACGAACTTTTTAATTACTAATTACTTTGTCATCCTAATGTCAATTTTGGTTCCTAATTATCATTGGTACAATATATTATGATGCTTTATATTTCTAGAAAACACATCTGTTAATTTCTGTGGTCTTTTACAATATTCAATAATTTGAAGAACTTACCAAATATATAAAAAAATGAAAAATTGACTAGTCTGTAAAACTTCTTTTTTTTCAGTAGTAAAAGATTCCCTTAATTAATAAAATCCTAAAAAGTTTTGTGTGGCGTCGGGGCAGAAGGTTAGCCTTGAAAAATCCAACATCTTCTTCTCTGAAAAATGTAAGTCGGTATTGGAGCAACATGTGATCTAGGAAAATATGTTGGTATGCCTATATTACACAAACGATTGAATAAGGATACATATGGAAAATTTTAGAAAGGGTTTCTTTAAGGTTAGCTGGACACTACAAGAAAACAATCGTTTTCCAACGGTCTGTTACGACGGTTTATATATCGTCGCAAATATATAATGATTTTATGACGATTTGACGAGGAAAAAATAAAACGTCGTAAAACCGTTATAAAAACAAATCATCGTAACTTTAACGTATAATTTACGACGCTTTACAACGATTATACATCGATGAAGAGAGACTTGATATTTAATGCAAAATCGTCGTAAAATGGATGTAACGTTACGACCAATATACGACGACTAAAATCCGATGTACAATTACGACGATTTTACGTCGATAAAGAAGGTAGGTGAAGAACATTTAAAACATGTTCACCTAACTAATGTCGATAAAATATTTTATCGCATAATCGACGTAAAATCGTCAAGAGATGTAAAAAACCGTCGTAAAAGCGTCGTAAAGTCCGAAATTTTGTTATAAATACATCTTCATTTCTTCTTTCATTCACAACACATTATCATTCAAACATAAGAGCATCAGCATCCTGGAGACCCATTTTAGGTCTCTTAAACCTTATTATAGTGTTTTAAAACCCGATATATTGGGTTGTCCATTGCTAGAAACCCGAATTAGTAGTAATTTCTTTGAAAAAAGAGGTAATAATATAAAAAGGTTTCTCCATTGACGCGGCTACACGTGAAACAAGAAACTGTCTCTTATATTGTCTAAGCAATAGAGAGAGAGTTTTTTTGAGTTATTTTCAAGATATCTATATACGAGCTAAGAAGCTGGATGTATATGCGTAAAGATTCAGATGGGGCGTTGACAGAAGAATTCAAGAACGCGTTAGAAATATTCATGTATCAGGCCAAAAATATGGAGAGAACGAAAGAAAGCAGAAAGATGTTTTGTCCTTGTTTGAAATGCAAGAATACAAGGTATACACTAACAGATCATAACCTGGCTAAGGTTTGCATGGATGATTGGGCTGATCTTCTGAAAGAGTATCTACCGGAGGATAACTTGGCAGTGGCAACATACTATGAAATACAGAAGTTGATATTTAGTCTTGGTCTACCTTCTGAGATGATAGATGTATGTGTTGACAATTGTATGATTTTTCTGGAAAGATGATGATCAGCTGGAGGAATGTCGATTTTGCCAAAAACCAAGACACAGGCCGCAAACTAGTGGGCGTAAAAGGATACCGTACCAACGTATGTGGTATCTCCCTATAACTGATAAGTTGAAAAGGATTTATCAATCTGAAAGGAAAGCTGCATCAATGAGATGGCATGCAGAACATACACAAGTAGATGGAGAAGTTGTTTATCCATCAGATGCAAAGGCATGGAAACACTTCAATACGATATACCCAGATTTTGCTAAGTTCAAACAAAATGTCTATCTTGGTCTGTGCACTGATGGTTTTAGTCCATTTGGTATGTCTGGTAGACAATATTCATTATGGCCAGTAATCCTAACCTCTTATAATCTTCCTCCAGATATGTGAATGCAAAGGGAATTTCTTTTTCTTAGTATTTTGGTTCCAGGTCCCAATCATCTGAAGCGATCTCTCGATGTATTTCTGCAGCCACTCATACATGAGTTGAATCAGTTATGCTATACTGGCGTTCGCACATATGACTGTTCAACGAGAAAAAAAATTTACTCTGCGGGCTGTGCTTATGTGGACAATAAGAGAATTCCCCGCTTACGGTATGATATCAGGATGGACTACACATGAGAGGTTATCTTGTCCTTATTATGTTGATCGAACTGATGCGTTTCAGCTAAAACCTGGTAGAAAAGCCTGTTGGTTTGATTGTCACCGCATGTTTTACCGGATAACCATCCATATCAGAGGAACAAGAGGTTATTTAGGAAGAACAAAAGTGTATGTGTCCTTCCACCCATAAATTTAACAGGAGCTGATATACATGCGCAAATCAAGCATTGGGGGCAGAGGAAACAGTAACGCGTGGGGGAAATTGGCACACTCCTACAAATATGCCTGAAGGTTATGGAGTTCATCATAATTGACACAAGAAACGTATTTTTTTGCAACTACCCTATTGGAAAGATCATCTGCTGAGACACAATCTTGATGTCATGCACATTGAGAAAAACTTTTTTGATATCATCATGCATACAGTTATGAACATAACGGGAAGAACAAAAGACAATGGTAACTCAAGATTGGACTTGCCTGATTTATGCAACAGAAGTGAGTTGCATATACTGAAAAACGGGAAAGCACCAGTTCCTGTATTTCGGTTGAGTGCAGATCAGAAGTCAGCATTGTTCAAATAGGTTTCATCTGATGTTAAGTTTCCTGATGAGTATGTTTCTGATCTTTCTAAATCTGTTGAGAAGGGGGTAAACTTTGCAGGGATGAAAAGTCATGACTGCCACGTGTTTATGCAACGATTATTTCCATTTGCATTTGCTGAAATCTTGCCAAAAAATGTCCATGAAGTTGTTGGAGGTAAAATAATTACTACTTAACTACACTCTAGCTATTCCTATTATACTTTGTACATATTAAATTTTATCTAATATTATGTATATGTACATATGAAGGCATTGGTGCTTTTTTCCGGAATCTTAGTACATGAACATTATCAGCTGATGTAATAGCACAACTGGCATCGAATATTCCAATCTTGTTGTGCAATTTGGAAAAGATCTTCCCGCCATCATTTTTTAATGTTATGTAACATCTTCCTGTTCATCTCCCTCATGAAGCACATCTCGGTGGACCGGTTCAGTACAGGTGGATGTATCCGTTCGAGCATTTCATGAAGCATCTTAAGAGTAAAGCCAAAAACCTAGCTAAATTGGAAGGTTTAATTGTGGCGGGAAGCTAGACGCAAGAGACTTCGCACTTCACTTCGTACTATTTTGCACCAAAAGTACGAACACGCAAAAGAGCTACTCGTCAATATGATGATGGAAGAGGGGTACGACTAAACAAATTAGGATTTGTTGACGTGAACAAATCACGACGGTACAACAAGTTTGAGCCATTTATATTAGCTTCTCAAGCGGAACAGGTCACATTTTTGCCATACCCCCGAGTTCGAGCAACAGGAATCTCATGGTTAGCAGTAGTTAAAGTGGCTCCAAGGGGCAAGATTGTAGGGGTTGCGGATGTTTCACTGCAACAGGACACTTTCGTAGATCTGACTGAACCAGATGTTGATGAGGAGATTTTCTTAATTGACACTCAGAACAGGCAAGTTGAAGATCTCCCCGATGATACAGAAGAAGAAGGTGATGAGTTTGATGAAACCGAGGACGATGATGAAGATTTGGCGGAAGACGACGCTGATGGTGACGAAGAAGTAGAAGAAGATGAATCTAATTGATTTTCATTTTGGGGTTTTAGGGAATGTTTGTTATTATGTAATTTGTAATTATATTTGTTTGAATTTTTTAATGATAATTATAACCATTACGATAGTTTTACGACAATTTTTGTAAACCCTAAACCCCAAGTTTAGGCCTTATACCCTGAATGAATAGTATTTGAGTATTACGATGATTTTACGACCATCAGTCGTAACTTCGTCGTACTTTTACGATGATTTTACGACGCAATTTGAAAACCGTTGTAAAATCGTCATTACGGTCAAATCCAAAATTTATAATCATTTATAACTGATTAGTTTTTAACTATTTCACCAGTGTTTTTGATAGATTATCTTATTTTATATGAAAAGAATTCATTCTGATAAAAATCAGAAATTTGAAAAAATTCATACATATTTACAAGTTCATGCATGTTTTTGTAAATGGTAAGTAAAAGGTTATATATTAGATATGATACTTGAAATATTTGTTATTTCATTCAACAAAGCAGTCATACATGTAAAGTGACGAAATTTTTCTGATATGATAGTTTGAAATCAGTT